CCAGTCTGAATTTTGATTTGCTTGAGAACAGCAGGATCGGCCATGATTCAGGGCTTTTTCTGAAATCTCCGATAGAAATAAGACTGATACAAACTACAAAAACGAGCAACGATGTGATTGACTGACAATGGCCTCATACGAGTCATATAAAAGTCTGATATCAGAGATAAACATGAGGCTTTGGGCACATCAAAACATTCGGAATGAGTCATAGACACGTTCTCCGGCGTCATTGTCAGACGATTAGCTGAGTCCATACATTGTTTTTATGCAGTGCTGTAAATCATACGAAATAAATATCATGTGGCTGAGCTTACGCTTGGCTGTTTGTTCGAATTTCGCTCTCATTCTTCAGAGAAATTTCAGCGTATGAAAAAGCGCAGACTTTTCTTGACTTGTGCAGACAGCGCAGGTAATTTTGGGTACCTGGACGTTATATGAGTTAGCACAATGAAGGCAGTGTACCGGCCGAATTTCCTTTGCCAGTTACCTTTCGGGGATTTTCGGGACACAAGGAACTCATGCGTGGGGTTTTTGCGCATGAAAGTGGCAAAAATGAGACTTTTTCAAGGCTTTCCAGGTCCGCATTCAATGATCTTCCGCGCTACGCCTCCCTCGTTGACTCCGCCCACTTGCGCGTATTTTCCACTGAATCGGACCTGGAAAGCCTCGAGAAAAGTTCATTTTCGCCATTTTCATGCGCTAAAAAGCCCAGATATTTTTTCCTCATGGCGAGTAGGCTCCGAAAAGGTGAAAAACTGGAAAACGAAATTCTGCCGGTACACTGCCTTTAGCCCTTGCTAAAACAGCTCACGTCGCTCATTCCCGGTGCAAGAAATGCAACTCCCGTTATACCCAGACCGTACTCAAACGAAGCCATCAGCATCAACAATGGTTCGGGTGAAGGATTATAGTGCAATCAGTCAAAAATTTACTATATGGCTGCCATTAGAGGAATTACTAATTTGAAGCCTCTCAACCAATTTCTGTAAGAGAAATGCAATCAGCCTCTGCCTAAGCATTAGGTGTGAGGCTCTGGCTCCATAATAAGGGCATTTTTTCAGCATGGAAAGGGCTTTGAAAAGGGGCAGGGCAGAACGAGTCGATTACGCACAGAAAAAAAATCCCATTAGCTGAGCCATAGTAGTCCGGACCCAAAAAAAGACTCACAAGGCGAGATGCATTCGGGTTTGACTAGTTTTATCTTTTGAGG